TGCGTCCCAGGGTCCTTATTAGAGCTGTAATTAAATATAACCCAGGGGCACCTGGGTGGCTCAGTGGGTTAAAGCCTCTGCCTTCAGCTCAGGTCATAATCCCAGGATCCTGGGATTGAGCCCCACATCGGGCTCTCTGATCAGCGGGGAGCCTGCTTCCTCCTCTCTCTCTCTGCCTGCCTCTCTGCCTACTTGTGATCTCTGTCAAATAAATAAAATCTCTAAAAATATATATATAACCCAAAAGCGTCCACCTTCTGGAGGCACCCTCTGTTTTCCTCTGATATCAAAAGAGCCCCCTTCCCATATATTAGGGACAACCAGGCCCCTCCTTGATCTTTCCGAGGATTTCCAAGTTGGGGCTCATGGTCTCCCGAGTCAGGCCATGATCAGCCTACTTCTTTTTATTCTTCTTGTCTTTATTGAGGTATCATTGACAAATAAAAACTGTATATGCTTAAGGTTGTATAACTTGATGTTTTGAAATAGGTGTACAGTGTGAAATGGTCACCACAAGCTAAGGTATGTATTGTCTCACACAGTGTGTGTGTGTGTGTGTGTGTGTGTGTGGTGAGAACACCTAACATATGCTCTCTTAGTAAATTTCAAGTGTACAATACGCTATTGTTGATTACACAGATTGCTTATTTGACTGTCCCTGTACACTCCCGGCCTCTGGAACCACCATATGCTTCTCCCCTTCTTTGGTTCCAGATGAAAACCCATGAATTTCTCCATTGCCCTCTCTCTCCAAAAACCAAGGCTGGGTTGACGAACATTCTCCTCTCCTCACCTGCCAGGAAATAACTGGAACTATCCCCCACATTTCCACCCCGAAATAGGACTAGATGGGGGTGGGGGGTAAGGTTCTACATTTTTGAGAGAGAAATGCTGCTTGGGAACTCTCTCCCTCAACGATGTAAGTAGGTTGAGTTGTCATCTTCTGCCTTGCCTGAAGGGTGTAATGGGACTTTGAGGCTGCCCTTTAAAAAAAAAAAATTATTTTATTTGTTAGAGAAAGAGAGAGTGCAGGTTGCGGTGGGGGAGCATGAGTGGGGGGTGGGGGAGGAGCAGAGGAAGAGGGAGAAGCAGATTCCCTGCTGAGGTCGGAGCCCAACTAGGGGCTCTATCCCAGGACCCAGGGATCATAACCTGAGCTGAAAGGCCAGGCTGCCATTTCGATATGCCGTGTCTTGGCACGCTTAGCTTTCACTGGCAAGTAGCTAGGAAAACCTGCATAGAACTCAAGGAGCATGTTGGGAGAAAAGGGAGAATATGAAGTATACAATCCCTTCCTTTCTGAAGTTCAATGTTACTGGAGCCTTTTTGATGGACTGAGTCTAGCCTGAAGACTATGGGCAGGAGAAACCACTAAGTGCCCTTGAGAAGGCACTTGCCAAGAGCAAGGGTAGGTGACCTAGGCTAAATGGAAGGACCTAAGGGGTTATAAGGGTTGGTCTGGTTCTGATATAGTGTGTAGAAGGGGCTGGAAACCCCTCTGGTCAAGCCCCTGGTTCATGACAGAGCCGGTTGGCAGGGAAGTTCAGGAGTGACCCTAAGCGGCAGACAGAAGCAACGTCGGCAGAAAACCAAGGCCCCCTGGTGGTAAGTCCTGGCATTCTCTGTCTCATTGGTAGTTCAAATTTTTATTTTATTTGATTTTTAATTTAATTTTTATTTTATTAATTTTATTATTTTATTTATATATATATTTTATTTATCATATTTATTTTAAGTTTATTTTTATTTTATTTATTTATTTTATTTAATTTATATTTTAAATTTTAGGTGTTTGTACACAAAGGCTGGCAAACCACGGATACTGTTGGCATTTGTAGATTTCCCCTCCACCCCTTAATAATCCACCAAAGTGTTCTGTGAAGCCTCTGGGTGTGCACCCTCATCATTGCAGAGAAGTGGTAGATGTTTTGAAATGACAGGGTTTTTCTCTAACGTATCCTAGATAAAATGCTTGGGGACGAGTCCTTTCCCCTCTGATCTAGCTTGGGTAGATTTTTTTTTCTCATTTCTTATTTTCTTTTCCTATTTTTCTTTTACCCCCCCACCCCCATTTCATAGATAAGTGTGTAATCTAATTAATATCTGTTTTCCTCTTTAGCAAGTAAGCTTCAGGGGCTAGGGATTGTGTCCCCCATTCCCCAAATAGTCCATTCATTTATTTGACAGAGAGAGAGAGAGAGAGAGAGCACGCACACACAAGTGGGGGAGCAAGAGGCAGAGGGAGAACAGGCTCCCCACAGAGCAGGAAGCCCATTGTGGGGCTCGATCCCAGGTCGTGACCTGAACTAAAGGCAGACGCCCAACTGAGTGACCCAGGTGCCCCAGGATTATCTGTCTTGTTTGTTGCTGTATCCTCAGCCCCTGAAATAGTATTGGGCATTCATTTATTAAGCTGACAAATTGTTCGGGAGCATCTGTCCTGTGGCGGGCCCTCCCCTAGG